TGAAAGAGAAATGAGGTCCAATAAATCTCTAAAGTACAAAAATAAGGGGAAAATTCCTACAAGCAATAACTCTCTAAATGTACTTCTTGCACACAATTGGTGCCCCTATAAAAGAAAGGGCAACATGGTCGTTGGTTCAAAAATTGAAGAGGCACCACTCTCCGGATTTCGAGAAATGGATTTTCCTGAGTAAAATATGTCGACAATCTCCACACGCAACATCAGCTCCTCGGGTACCACAGATAACTTTGCCAAAGATCTTTGACAAAGTTTAGCACATAAATTTAGAAGGTCCAGCTACCCTACTATTACCCACAAGGGTAAAGGAACATCACCACTGCTTGATAACTGGAAAGTCCCTATGTGTGTCAACTTCCGTGCTCCGTGGCAAGGTAGACTGGCAAAAATGCCTAACCTTTACTCACATTCGAGAAAACACTCCCAACAAGATTGCTTGCTCAAAAATTGAAGAGGCACCGCTTTCCGAATCTCGAGAGCCAGACTCTCAACAGGATTACTTTCTTAAAAATTGAAGAGGCGTCGTTTTCCAAATCTCAAGAACCAGACTCCCAACATGATTGTTTTCGTAAAAATTGAAGAGGCACTGTTCTTCGAATCTCGAGAGCCAGATCCCTGACATGATTGCTTGTTCGAAAACCAAAGAGGCACCGCTCTCCGAACTTCAAGAGCCAGATTTCCTTGGATAAAGCTTGTCTACAATCTTCACACGCAACATCAGCTTTCCAGATACCACAGACCACTTTTTCAAAGTGCTCTGACAAAGTTAAAACACGTGAATCTTGCAGCTCCCACTACATTGCTATGGCCGAGAAGGGTAAATGAATAGCGTTACCACTCGTTGTTGTGACAATTCCCATATATGTCGACATTCATCCTCCACAGCCAGGTAGACCTGCAAATAAAAAAAATGCTCAACCTTTCTTCACATCCGAGAGGGCACTTTCAGCAAAGTCTTTCGAAATACTCAACTTTTTCCCCCCCGATAATACCTCTGCAAACAAGCCACACAAGACCAAGAGTATCTCATATCATCAGGGTTAAAAGCAAGAGTATCCCATATCATGCTTTTTCCCTGTCTTTTCCTTTGGCTTTGTTCTTACCTGCAAGACAAAGAGAAAGAGAGCAATCAGTCAGCACTTGGAATCAAGCTTCCAGTCAGGAACTGACTACCTGGAACTCCTTACCTGATTACTTACCTGGCCTTGCTCTCGAGTACTCATCTTCAACATCTTATGCTTCCAGAAAAGATACCACATCTGCCTGAAGAACAGATAGGGCAAGTGAGAAGGATACAAGGAAGCATGTGGCGACAAGCGCAACAGAACACGTGCCGATTCATCTATTACTTTGTCAACAACAAAAGTATCCCATATCATCAAGGTCGAACGCACTCTTGATTTGATGGACTTGTTTTGACCCTCAAATTCTTGAGTCGGCCTTATACTCTGGAGGAAACCAGAAAACCCTCTAGCCCAGTTTAAGAATAAGCCTATGGAAAGTTACTTCTTCAAAAGCAAAAGTATCTCATATCATCTCTTCTCCTTTTTCTTCTCTTTATCCTTCTTGCTGCCTGCAAGATAAGGAGAATGAGAACAATCAGCCGCAACTCGAAATCAAACTTCTGATCTGGGACTGATTGCTTGAAACTCTGATTGCTTACCTTATCTGTCACCTCTTTCGGCAAATCTCCTAGCTCGGCGACTTGGGGGACTCCTACTACATGGTTTGTATTGCGCTTGACCAAGCCTGAAACTACAAGTAAGCTTCAAGTCAAATTGATACATTACCTTGTGCATCTCCATCAATTAAAGATACCACCCCTGGATGGAGGAAAAGTACTTTCAGAGAAGATGCCACATCTACCTATGAGACAGATAAAACAAGTGAAGACGATACCATACTTCGGTACTTAAAAGTTTCGTGATTACTCAACGGTTTGGATCTTGCAAGTCTTCAATCGAAGAGCTTCCCTCATTCGAGAACTTAGGGGAGCACCGGTTGCACCATACTTGACCAATCCTGAAACTACCGAGCATCGGTCAACGTTATACCGTTAAGGACCCATAAGAGTTTCCCTCCAACCAAGAGGCCAATCACAGGGCGACACGTGTCGACATCAGAAGCCAATCATAGCGCGACACGTGTCAACATCAGAAGCCAATCTCAACACAACACGTGTCAATGTCAGAACAAAGCTAGAAACTTTCTTCTATGAAAGGAGATCATTCTCCCACAATATTTCCTAATGTCATTTGTACTAAATCATTCACTAGTACTCACTAAAGGAGAGCTTGAACCTATGTTCTTGTGTAAACCCTTCATATTTAATGAGAGCTCCTCTACTCCGTGGACGTAGCCAATCTGGGTGAACCATGTACATCTTGTGTTTGCTTCCCTGTCTCTATCCATTTGCATACTTATCCACACTAGTGACCGGAGCCATCTAGCGAAGGTCACAAACTTAACACTTTCTGTTGTACCAAAGTCCTCCCTGATTTTGTGCATCAACACCTTCTATTCATACTTGAAGGGAATGAAGCACGATGACTTTTGGCTAAAATACATACTTCACACTACAACTATGAGTCTTCAATACCACTGAACAAATCGGGTAACATATGCTTCAAATAACCAAACGACGATGCAACAATAATACCTTCTGTAGATTACTATTATGTGACGCACGAACCAAATTAGATCTTCCAAGAACCACGTCATCCACATAATATAGCCCTTCTTTCTTAGTGACATGCCTAATGATCTCATTTGTCTGAATATCCTGAAGCAAGCAAAATAAAGGATACATTAATACAATGCAATCCAATTGTTCAGTGACTTGTGGTACAAACAATAAGTGATGGGACAATGACTGAACCAATAAACAATTATATAACAGGAGAGAGGGTGTAAGACAAACTGTTCCCGCTCCAACAACAGGAGCAGTAGTACCATTGGCAGTTGCCACACACTTTCTATGAGGATAGCTTATAGATTGAAACAAAGTCTTATCATACGTCATATGATCCGTTGCACCAAAATCCAAAATCCAACATGTACTCGTCATTGTTATAACATAACAGTAATACACTACAATCACACCTATACTCAAGACTCAAGTCCAAAAGCAAATCTCATATGCAAAAAACAGACCACCCATATGCTGCATTGCATGTAGCAACAAACCACACAAATTTACCACCTTGAAAAACCATACGTTGCAATCCAACAGGACCAACAATACCCACTGCACAACAATCAAACATGTTGCAATCCAAGCACAAAGAACGCCATGGTAGAGCGGGAAAAACCCACTTGATGAATTAATGCTTGCTGCCTGATTACAACAGCAACTCCCCTTCTCTCTTTGTTTTGTTTTTGTTTTTGTGTTGTTTTGGTCAACAATTGCAGACTGTAGCAGCAAAAGAGCACGGCAAAGAAAACACGCTCACGAAATTCACACGGTACAAAATAAGGAGTTTTAACGAAAAGCCCATGGTACTGTTCACTTTAACAAAAAACCACATTTTTACACTAAAAAAATCAATCCTGGTATTATTCACTTTACCATTTATTTTGTCCTTACCGTTAAAACTCAAAGTTTTCAAGCTCTTTTCGTTAGTTTTCCTTACAAAATAAGGTGGCAGTACAACATAGCTTTCCACGCAACAACTCTAATTAGAGAACACAACCAATATCGTAGCAGCCTCAAGTTTTTGTATGGTACCAGACAAGTACACACTGCAAGTCAATACACGGTACAATTGCAAAAAACACAGCAATGTACACAATTTATGGTTTAGTATTCGTACCAAAACCAAGCTTTGATACCAAGAAGAAATACATTAATACTTCGTTATTTTATTCATCATCTAGGGTTTAAAAATATATAGACACACATATCTTATTCTGCAAGAAAAGTAATTACAAAGGATTAGGAAACTAAATCTTAAAGATTACATATCATAATCCTACCTAAAATAAGACTCCAATAACATTTACAATTAAGACTCAAATCAACAATAATGTGGGTGGAGTCATCGCAACCCCACATCAATTTGTTCGTCATTACAACGTAGGGTCCTTCCTACCACACGCCTTTTTGCCCTAAATGAGATTAAGTTTGGATAAAGATTGAGACGTCTAATAAGAGAAGCTAAACTAAACTACTTACCAACTTGGTGAGGGTCTATAAAGATTTAATGCCGACCCAAACTCCACTGTTTAATTGATTTGATTTATACCTGAACGGTCCATTTAATTGGTGGCGTATCAACTAATTATGTATTTATATCCACCATCTGTGCGCTTAACCCACCTACTGAAAAGAGTCATTCACAATTGAATGTATTGTGAATGTGTAAATCCGACTTAGCGAAGTTGGCTTGAGCAATGTTCTCTACTCTTTACCCTCAAGTTTGAATTTCTTTCTCGTAGTTAGATGAATTCAGTATAATTATTCTACTGTTTGTAAAACAAAAATGTATTGTGAATGTATGACTTGCCGATTCATAAAAACCATAGTTGAAAGTCATACAGTTCTGTTTTATTAATTGAGATAATAAATCAATATCTCGGTAGATATCTAATATGTTACTATGAATCATGATAATGCAATTAGACGTACTATTATATTTAAATAATGGTTTAGATCAAAGTCTGGTATCTTATATTGATCGTGCTAAACTGTTTGGCAAGAAAAGAATTTTTTTATTGTGCCCGGAACATATATGGAAACTATGCTACGTGTCATTATAAGAGTGGACGACAATTTTATTATGAGTGGAGGACAATTTTATTTTTTAAGTTAATTTTTTTATCATAAGTATCTCATCATTTGTATAATAATACCACCTGTGTTGCAGACACTGAGAGATCTCTCGGCAAAAAGAAGATTTGCGTGAATTGTTAACCGGGGGCCATTTTGTAATTTCAATTGCAGCAGCTGCTTGGGCATATATAATAGAGTAAATCCATGTCCTTTTCGCTATAGTTCAAAGCATTACAAGATGGAAATGTCTAAAGGCGCCAATGATCTCCTCCCAGAAATTCACATTCAGTCTGTGCAGACCGTGACACCAACGAAGGTAACCGATCCACGGCAAGTGCGCCAAGTGTCAGCGGTAGATCCTATAGGTTTTGGAATATTCCGGAAGTGTCTTCACATCCTTCTTTACCACGCAAAGGCAACCGAGGACGGTGCTCGTTGGTTTCACGTTGGATGGCTCAGGGAGTCTCTAGCAAGGGCCTTGCTGGAGCAACCGTTAATAGCAGGGCGATTTCGACAAGCTTTTGATCGTCAGAATGAGGAAGGAAATCAACTGGAGATTGTGTCAAATGATAGTGGCGTTAGACTTTTTCAGACAAGCATCCCGATAACATTGTCTGAGTTTCTTGATTTGAAGGGCAGCAGAGACGGAGAGGATGCGGAAGCTAAGCTTGTGTTTTGGAAAGATATTGATGAACAAAATCCTCAGTACTCTCCACTTGTTTATGTTCAGGTAATCAACGACATGCATCTTTTATGTAAAGAGCTTTGTGTTTTTATTATTATTATTTTGAAGTTAACCTCGACGGTACTGGTGAAGTTAATTAATAGAAGGAGGAAAAAATAACGCTTAAATTGGGGACATAAAACCAAACCCCTCAAAAGAATTTAAGCTAGCTTTCACTAGAACAAAAATGATTAGACAAGGGATATCCCCTGTTGCCTAGGACAATTTTTGTTCTAGTGTTTTGGGGTGTAAGGTATTTTCAAATTTGAAACATGGATGATTATTGCTTGGTTTTTATTATATATTTTTCATTGTTTTTTTCTCTTAGGTGACCAAATTCCAATGTGGAGGATGCTCAGTTGGAATTAGTTGCAGCATTCTTCTGGCAGATATTTTGTTGAAGGAAAACTTCTTAAAGAAATGGGCTAAAATTCACAACAATCTGCTTTCAAAAGATGATCTACCTGCAGCACCAATGTATTATATACCTGATATTATGAAATCTACTGGTTGCTCCCCCACCAGCATATTTAGCTCTAATCCTAGCAACAAATGTGGCCAAACTGTTATTTTCACTATCTCTGCGGAGACTGTAAATCCATTGAAGGATGATGCATTGCAGCTTTGTGTTGAAGAAGCAGAGAACAAATACGGTAACAATATGGCTCCCAACTTTCCCATGTTTGAAGACCAACTACCGCAATGCAATCAAGGTTGAGAAGTTTCCAAAAGATGGACTTATTAAGCCGAAACGGCTAGGTAGTCGGAGTCAGCTTTCTAGAGCAGTGTGGGATGATTTTGGAGCAAATGAGATCGAATTTCGCGAAGGGAATAAGCCGGAATATGTTTCATATTGGGTTGGATTCGTTTCTGGTGGACTTGTCATGGCAATGCCATCGGCTGATCGAAGGGGCTCTCTCAATGAAGTGAAAGTAGTGATTGTCACAGTTCCTATTGAGAAGGAAGTTTAGTGGTCTTCAAACTCATAGTTTCTGGGAAATTTGTGCTTCTATAACTCCCAGTATCTCTCTTTAATTTGATAAATAAAAAATCATGTATAAGTTGCTGGAATAAGATTCAATGATACAAACAAAACAATACATGTGTTTATATGGTTAATCATAAACAAAACGGACTTGCATACCTGAACGTAACCAAGTTCACTAGTGCATTGAGCCCCCACTCTGCACCCAAATTCGTATTACTTCACGTAGGTTAGATTAGATTATAGTATCACTTCTCCACAAAAAATTGAGCTAAATCATCAATGAATTTTTTTTCTATAAGCACATTGATCCTTCAGTAATTGCAACGGTAATTTTAATTAAACGTTTTTTAGCCAAAATGGTCATTGAGATTTGCATAACTCATTACTTTGATTCCTAATATTTGAAATCAATAGAAGTGGTCCTTGAGATTGTCCACCATCAATCATTTTGATCATTTTGTGAAAAAATTATGTTAATTAAGAATCAAAATGACAAAACTACTCTCAATTTAAAACAATTGGCCAAAATGATTTGACAAAAAATTGAGGGTATTTTGGTCATTTTATTCTTATTTTATGGAGATTTTTCATGGAATGACCAAAATGATTGATGATAGACAATCTCAATACCACTTCTATTGATTTCAAATCTCAGGGACCAAAATGAGGAGTTATGCAAATCTCAGAAACCATTTTAAGCCTTAACTAAATAATATAAGAATGCAAGAAAATCTAATCAGTTAGGTGACAAGTCAGATTTCGACGAATCGATGAGAGAACAATTAAAGTGGCAGTTTTGCCATTGAAAGCAATTCAAGTGGCCGGTTGAGCAAAGTCAACATATCTTAACTCCCCACTCCCAGAATTTTAACGCTAATGGACCGGTGTGGTTCGCAAATTAAGTTTTTTGAGAGTGAAAATTTTCATACTCATTCCCAAAGTTATAATTCGCGAACCAACAACGAAGAAGCTTTGTCTTCGTATATTTAAGTGATGCTGAGTGGAGGAAAAAAACCCACAACAATCATATTGAGATTGAAGATACAAAATAAAGTTGTAAATGTAATGAATAGTTTGTATGAAATGCCTAATAAAATATATCAAACAAAATATACAATATACAGATGAAACACTAACCAATAACGAAACAAATTAAAAAGTGCAAGAGCTATATTTAATGCGTAGATGATAAATAATGCAGATTATATGTGGATAGTTGATAACGTCTCCATAATGATTAGTCAGACATACCATACTTCTCATATATTGTTGTTATTTTTTTAATATAAAGTTTTGTTACCATATTTCCTTTTTGTCCATACGTTCCATACGTTTTCTTTTGTCCATACCACACTTACACGTTTTATTAATTAATGCAACTATTTCACACACCTAACGCAATTAGGTTTGGTTCCCAATTTTCATGATTCCAACCGTTTCTTTACAATGTTAAGAGGAAGGTTGGATGTAACCATCATCTTTTTAGCCACCTCTAAAAAATCCTCCAACGGGGTCGGTTACTCCATTTTCCAGCAAAAGATGCATTGCTTTTTTTTACGTGCATCCTCTCGCAGCTCATTCTTCACTTGTGTGATTAACATTCATTGTACACATTTTACTTGTATTGCTGATAATGTGGTGAAATTTTATCCGCCTTTGCATGATTTTCTTTCATTCTATCTGGTATTAATGATGTTTGTAGTGGTCATTGTCCTATGGTTAGTGAGGTAGAAAATTCTACTTTTTCTTCTATACTTTCAACCGACGAAATTAGAAGTGCGGTTTTTTTTTCATGGATCCTCCGAGTGCTCTGGATCCGAAGATTTTTCTAGTTCTTTTTATCAGACTTGTTGGTGTTAGAGAAGGAGTCTTGTCAAAGTCAACTGTACCTCCTACTACCAACTTCAACTCAAAATTTCCCTTCTATTCCCCCCTCATTTCATTCCAACCCTTGTGCTAAACCGGGGTTAAGTGTTAAAACTAAAAAAAAGGTCAAATTCCGGCCAAGATTTGAGTTTGGGTTAGTGGTGAGGCCCACTTGTGCGAGTGGAAGTTTGGTTTTGAAAGCCAAACGCCTAAGTTTGACGCGTGCATGAAGGGGAACTCGTCATGCGCTGCAATCTGAGGACCCACCCACTTGCCTATTTCATTGATGAGCCTAACGACTCTTTTATGTAATCTAATGGCATACATTCAAATAAGTTGTTGGTATCCAACAGTCCATATTTAATTGATTTAATGTTTATTTATTTATTTTTAAATTTATTGAATTCAACGGTTGAAATCTAATATAATCGAATCTGGCAGTAAAAAAAATCTAACAACATTGTTGATGCACAAAATTAGTGAAGACTTTGGTACAACAGAAAGTGTCAAGTTTGTGACCTTCACTAGATTGCTTCAGTCACTAGTGTGGATAAGTATGTAAATGGATAAAGACAGGGAAGCAAACACAAGATGTACGTGGTTCACCCAGATTGGCTACGTCCACGGAGTAGAGGAGTTCTCATTAATTGTGAAGGGTTTACACAAATACATAGGTTCAAGTTCTCATTTAGTGAGTTCTAGTAAATGATTTAGTACAAATGGCATTAGGGATTATTGTGGGAGAATGATCTCCTCTTATAGAAGAGAGTTTCTAGCTTTGTTTTAACATTGACACGTGTCGTGTTGTGATTGGCCTCTGATGTTGACACATGTCGCGCTGTGATTGGCTTCTTATGTCGACACGTGTCGTGCTGTGATTGGCTTCTGATGTCGACACGTGTCGTGCTGTGATTGGCCTCCTGGTTGAAGGGAAACTCTTCTGGGTCCTTGATGGTATAACGTTGACGGTGCCTTGTAGTTTTGGATTGGTCAAACTATGGTAAAAAACGTGCTATCCTATTTTCCATGCCCTCTGCCTCAGTTAGGGATTGCAAGATCAAGCCATAAGTAAATCACGAACTTTCTAAGTACGAAACGTTGGTTTTGATTTTACTTGCCTCTGCCCCATAGTAGAAGTTGCGCATCTTTTCTGGAGGTTAGGAGCCTCCATCCAAGAGTAGTATCTTTGCTGATAAAAAGACGCACAAGGTAATGTATCATTTTCAGGAATCAAGCTGATTGGGCTCAATTCTCCCTACAAACCATATATAAAGAGTCCCCCAAAAAGCCGAAGCTAGGAGATCTGCAACGAAAGAGTGACAGGACAAGTAGCAATCAGAGTTCCTTGAACCTTTGCGATCTCAGGTTTCTTGGTCCATCCAAATGAGCGAGCCGACTGTAAGAGTATTGAGGTAAAATGATTCGTCAATCTGTTAGGAACTAACGTTTCGACCTAAATGATAGGGTCAAACAAGGGGAGTACCTTTGGTTATTTTAAGAAGTAATAGGTGAATCGGCACATGTTCTATTCGCTTGTCTCCACATGCTTCCCTTGTATCCTTTTCACTGCCCTATTTGTTTCACTCAGATGTGTGAATTCTCTTTGGAAGCACAAGATGTGAAGAGTACTCGAGAGAAATGCTAGTAAGTAATCAGCAAGGGGTTCCAGGCAGTCATTTTCCATGACTGGAAGCTTGATTCCAAGTGCTACTCTAAAGTTGAGAAATCTCTTCGATTTTGAACAAAAAGATGTGTTAAGATCTGGCTCTCCGAAATTCGGAAGCGTTGCCTCTCTTTAGATGAAACAAGCAAATATGTTTGAAGGTGTGTTCTTCGATATGAAAGGAAAAATTTAGCAAGTTCTGTAAGGAATAGCTTAGTGCACGAAAAGATGTAGTTGACACATCTTTGAGGAAGCTTTGCCAATGATAGCTGTTGAGTCTGAGTAGTGTTTCTTCGTTTCCTTACCCTCTTGATGAGTGTACTTGATTCAGAGTTAGGTGAAACTTCTAAGTTGGTAGGGTACTCTCAAAATTTGATGCGCCTTTTTGGTCAGGGTATCTTAGAAAGCTGTTTGTTGGGCCCCAAAAAAGCTGAGGTTGCATGTAGGTAGTGTTGACAATCCTTTATCCAGTGAAGATCTTTGACTCTCAAGATTCAGTTGAAGTTTGATTGCTTCTTCGGTTTTTTGAAACAAGCAGACCCTTGTTGCCTTTCTTTTTACAGGTTGCAAGCATTTAGGTTGAAAATTAATGCTCCTTTGATTTTCTCGAGTGAAAAAAAACTTCTCTGGTTGAAAGACTGTTGAAAGATCCAAGTCAAGAGTGAGTAGTCGTAAATTCTAAGCTACCGAGGTGTAGTAGTTTGTTGGTAGGAGTCCCCCAAGTGTGTGAAGTCAAGGAGTTGATTAAGGCAGGGTTCTTGCTAGTAGCCAAGTTTCCAAAGTAACCAAAACCATTCCACCATTTTCCTTTCTAAGTTTGATGAAAAGTTTGGCACCATAATGATTTTGGCTTTACACCAAAGAAAAGCGTGGTGAAGCTTTTTGAAAGAATTTAGTTTGCCCTCAATTTTTGAGTTTTCAATATCTTTTTCCTTTTTTTTCATTTCTAGGGAAACTGGAAATTTGAAAATGTGGGAAGAGACAACACAGTTGAGTACTTTCCACACTGTTTGAGCAGAGTTGTGTGCAAGCCATGGCTTTTGTAGTAGTCGAAGGTTTGTGAAACTTATAAGGGAATTTGCTTTTAGGTGAAATTCTTGAAGACAAGAGTGAAGTAAAGCTTTCTACAGTTGTTGTAGTGAATTTTGTGTTGAAATGTAAAGTAGAGCAAGAATACTTTGGAGCTTTTCGTATCTGCACAATGTGTAATTTGGCATTTAAGTTTTGTCCATTTGTTAATCTTGTGGTGAGAGAGTAGGATCTTAGTGTTGAAGCTTTGAGGTGAAAACTTTTGTTGGACCATGAATTGATTTTCTCGTCTTTTTTGGAGAATGAATTTTTGAGTTATATTTATCTTGAAGGTGGTAACTTAGTGTCAAGCTTTGTTTGAAATTGTTATCATGATTATTGGTGGAAAGAGAAGATGAGTTTATTCTTGTTAGTTGTATTTCAAGCTTTTTTTTTGGCGCCCATAATCATTTTGCCTACGAAGATTCTTTCCTTCTAGATTTTTAGTTTGGTTGAATCCTTTAATCTATGATATTGTTGTATCTTTCATCAATTAGTTTAGGTTATGAAGTGGGTTACGATTTT